GAACCATTTTTGAGTTCGCCCATAAGGTATCATTTCAGCTGCAAATACAAGCGACAAAACCCTTTCCTTACACATCAGACATATCCGCTGAAAGTCCATTGTGTGAGTCCGACTCCATCATGAGAATGTATTTCTGAATCGCCATCGAATATTATTATTATTATTTATTATCATTATTATAGTACATTTATATAGCGCACATATCCACGCAACTGGTGCATGCTCAAGTCGCTGGTAATGATTATAGATTATACCCCATGTTAGCGTAAAGCTGGCCGTACTCTCCTTCCCAACGGTGGTAACACATGCAATGGCAAGTAAAGACATAGTCTTGAACTTAACAAACAATTTAAGTACAAGTTAAGTGATGCGGCAAATTTAAATTACAGCCGGTTTGCCATTCACTCCCAAAGGAATATACTGCAGCGTAAAATCGAGAGGTTATTGTCTGACGTGACGTTTTAAATTTATCATATAGCAAATGTGCATGCTCAGAAAACCTGACCATTCCGTTTGCTCAGTGCTCAAAGAAACGCCAGGAGATCCAAAACTCACAGGCCATTGATTCACAGCACATGATTCTTTTCACCACTCCCGAAAACCAAGCAACTGTGGTGCGATGATGGACTCTAAATATTTTTGTAAATATATATATCCCGGCAGAATGTCTTCCTGAAACCTAACACAGTGGCCCCCGACGTTGACTGTGTTTCCAGCCATTGAACGTTCCTTAGTATTTCAAAGGCGTTGCCAGAACTCCATAAATTGATTCCCATTGTCACAAATTCCCTTCCAATGATATGTCCTTATCGAGGAAATTACACTGTCATAGGAATATTTATACCATCGATTGCAATCCTTTGAATACACCATGACTTATTTTCCTTTCCAAAGCATCATTACATAAATGATATACCACACCTAAGCACATATTTGCCAAGATGCTGAGATGTGTTTAGTTGTGCGGTAACTGTTGTAAGTACACGGAAAGGATGTTTTGAATACGATTGTATTTTCCACATGAAATGATCTGTAATTTTACAACGTGATAAAAATATTTATAAAATGACACCATTGCTTTCTTCATCAATACGCATGTGTGTGCCCAATGCAGATCAACGGTTCTGATTAGAGTCTGTGAATCTGTTTCTTATCGTCATGCAAACCTTATTAGCGTTTCACGATACACACTTATTGGCATCATCAAATGTGGTGGATGTTTACACAAATAGAGCTCAAATCGACAAAAAGGATACAAAAATTCTGTAATTGACCAGTATATTGTCAACTTCCAAGTCATTGTGAACTATGTAAAAATCTAACCCATAACATACATGTATGTTACTTTGACACGTGTCAAATATGGAACTACCAGCAATGTTATAGACGTTTCAGTCACTCGTAGCCCTAACCCTTGGAAACAAAAGTTTACATAATTAATAAATTCCAAATAACCCACACGAAATTCCTACAAAAAGCAGACTCGATAGTACGATCCCGACAGCATCATTAGCACGTGACATGGATCACTATCAAAATGTGGTGACATCCGGTGTTCGCAAAAAGATCAGCGTATCCTGCCCCGTCGGTAGCACACGTCACAAACACACGAAAAGGCACGTCTGTTGTCCACCTAAAACAAATACAACACCCAATACATAGGGCTAATCATGCCGAGGATCGTTGGTACGAAACCTGAACTCGACCCGATAACATATTTTCTACTCTCAGCACTTGCAATCAGGTTTCACAGAAGTGGATTTTGACTACGATCCCAGTTGGTTTCGAGTCTGTTGTGGCATAACTGAAATTCTTATCAAAGTACAAATTGCTTGCTTGGCTGTTCATACTTGTAAATCCCACACCAAACTTAGGAAACAACTTCAAAACTCCGAGGTGTCGAGTCATGGTATGACACTGCTTAAACTGGTTTTGATCTGGTATTGCAGAAGAAGTAGCGCTGAAACAAACGTGTGGTACAAGTAAAATCAGTTGACCTCAAAACTGCACACTGTACAACGAAAAAACACATGTGGCGAACGACGCCAACAGCAAATATTATTGTTCATGGATTCAATAGAAACAAGATGTTACACGCAACAAATACATAATTTAGTTGCCTCTGCAGCACCAATGGGCTTTATCTCTAGTAATTATATAGCGATTGCATCATGCATGATTCCTAATCACTAGCCAAATCTTATTTCATCGGTGTTTGAGGAGCGGTTGTGGAAATAAATGTCGTTCAACAAAATGCAATTGATAGTTACCTCATGATAAATTTGTTAATAATCGGTTAACCCCAAAACACTATTGTGTTCTAAATGCCGTCAGTCGGTTACATATTTTCCTTCAAGATGAGTTGAGTTTTTTTATATAGAGTAAAGTAACCATTACAATCATTTTAAACCATGGTAGGCAATATTCCAATCGTCAACATCTTCTATAGTGATTAGTATGACTGATATCCCTGGTGAGACAAGCGGTGCTCACCCATTCGAGAAAACATGGTGTCAACACAATTTGAACATAATTCATAAACATATGCTCCTGATATGCTAGTGGTGGGATTCCTTCAACCGACTCTCCTTTTAAGAAGAATTTCATATGATTATGAATAAGGTTTTGCTCACTTCTATTCAAGGCAATACATGCTAGTTAAGATTGTGTTTTGTAGAATGGATACCAGGATATCTTCCAAGTTGGCATATACAGATATCACATCAACGTGCGGATCTCAAGTGCGAAATCAGAATATTTGGAAACGCTCGTAAAATCAACAACATAAGTAGATAAGTGCAGTTTTACGAGTCTCCACGATCTCCTTACGGTACATGCATTAATAATCATATACTAGGACTTCATAAATGCTAATGCTGACTGGGAAACATTTCTTTGATCTTAACATGCATCAAATCATCCGTTATACGACTCAAAGGCCTGGTCAACCAATGTCGTCTAATGTGAGGTTTCAAATGTTTGAGAAAGAGGTTTCCAATAAACTTTAACACACGTCATAGTTAATTGCAAGCTATTCGATAAAACCAAGATCCTGACTGATGTGGCATCGATTGGGGGTGGGTTTTTTTGGCGTGTGTGTGTGTGTGTGTGCGTTGTGGCTGTAAGGAGGGTGACTTGTGTTAAATAACGGCACTGTCAGCAATGTGCCGTTACATCGCGATGGGCACACAGCTCGGGCCAGACAGGCCACTGGCTGATGTTATGGTTATCATCCCACGCAATCCCCAATTCATTTAGTCACTTCCGACAGCAATAGAGCGGTGATCGTGGGTTTCCCCGATCACATTTTACGTTGTGTCCGCATCTAATATTTTACCTCCGATTTAACACTCATATCAGCACGCCTTGGTGTAACAAAAATACAGGTAAATGCACAATTGAATAAAATTTACTCACTCAATCACTCCAATGCAAGCTTAACTCATTCAGCACGACATGGTGTACAGTGAAGTCTTGGGGCTAGTTAAATAGACATCTCCTTGCCCATCCTGGATGTTTGGAATGTCTGGTAGATACAGAGTTTTCTCGGAAAGGTGAAGGTTGGATGACCTTGCAGTGACCACCGCTCACGTCACAGGCGTTGTTCCATCTGATCTCAGGAGGTCTGGAGAAACAACAACCCATGACAGAACTGCCAGGTTGGGCTACCTCCAAAAGTCCGTTATACCTGGTGAACATGTAGACGAGCTTTAATTTGCTGCAACGTGACGTTACGTTCCTGAACTAGCGCGTAGAAGCTAATCTCGAATGACGTCGTCCCGGTGACGTGGAAGCACAATTGGATGCATCGCTGGGCGTAGGCGCGCGCCGTATGTTGAGCTCCATCAACCGGTTACGATGGTTCTGCTACTCACTGGTCTCAGCCTAGGAAATGTCCACGCACTTTATGAGTCAGTTTAGGATCGATTCTGGAGATGCACCAACCAAACATGGTTGCCTTGTGGACGTGACGTAACAATTCAGGAATATTGTCCTACTGTAGAAAACATCTCTATAGAGATGATATTATTGTTATTTGATGAACATTAAAATGTCTGGTAACTTCGTTTTGCGCTACTCCTGTTAGCAGCCTTCCCACAGCGTAAACGTTGATTTTTCTACAGGTCATGGCTTTGCATAAGCATTATTTAACAAAAGCGTTTAAAATGAGCACCAGATAGCGAAACACTCCAATATACAGTCCACATAACGAAAACACGTGTGAGAGCACCATGGCCCCAACCAACGTGTGAACGTCAACACTTTGAGACATGCATGAACATGCACGTGCAAATCGTGAATCATGACCTCAAAGTCGAGGAGCTGTCTTTATGAAGTTTTATCTAAAGATGCATTTTTTCAGGATAAAGTATTTGTATTTAATTTGATGTAAAACACAGTTAGCATGTGGTGGAATAGAGGACTACATTTTTTAGCCTAACGCTTCATTGTAATTCATATCGATAAACAATTGATAGACATGCATACTAATTATCTCTGTTTGAATGTTGTCACTTCAAGAATATCCATGACATTCACACAACAATAATTGATGAACGCACTTACATTTCAACGGTATCATATATCTACATTGGTTACATGTTTTTTTCCTAAATATTACAAGGATAATATGGTAATAGAATATCAAATTTGAAACATGTGATTGTGTTTTAGAGATTAAAGAATAATAGCCTGGCTGTATCTATACTTCTTCCTCTGTTAAATGGCTTTTGGTTCCCCATGCGATACTTTTATGTCAAACTCGTGCTTTTGTAGTGGTGTATATTAATTCATTGTTATGATGTTTCAGGTGCAATATCATGGTGATGCCATCCGCGTTAGGTCATACAGAGGGGTATTTTGAGAATGTCATGCATTAGTTCAGCCATAAAAAGATGAAACAAGCTTACACTAAAACACAAAAATCATTTATAAATACAAAGTTATATTTACGAAACGTTTGAAGACAAAGTTTACGATATTGAACAAACTTTATGGATAACAACTTCTTTACTTCGTGAGTGCGACGTTTTGATACAGATCGTTCCTGCTCGACAACGGTACACGAATCTATATCGAAACGTCGCACTTACCAAATAAAGAAGTTGTTATCCATAAAGTTTGTTCAATCTTGTACGCCCCCTACTTCTAAAATTCTTCTCAAAGAGTAAAAGGGGCAACGAGCTGTTCTAAATTTTACAGTAAACAAAAATCCAGATATGGAATATTCTTAGAATAGTGAGTGAGTATGGTTTTACGCCGCTTTTAGTAAATGTTCCTGCAATATCACGGTTGGCACACCAGAAATGGGCTTCACTTCCTCTTAGAATAAAACTGAGACTGAACCTCTTTTCAGATTGTTCGATGCTCACATTGGATAAAATTGAAAAATTGAAAATTGAATTTCCTTTTCCCGCGCACATGTGCCGAAGTGTGCATTGAGAGTTTGGAGCTCGCAAATCTTGCCCAATATGTTGTTCTTTGTGTCCCATGCTGTTAACTACAAACAGGACCTTTATCATTTATTAATAATATAAATCTCGTCGAATATGATCGAATCCCTCTGTTGCTATGTTACGAGTGAGTGAGTATGGTTTTACGGCGCGTTTAGCAATATTCCAGCAATATCACGGCGGGGGACACCTGAAATGGGCTTCACACATTGTGCCCATGTGGGGAATCGAACCCGGGTCATCGGCGTAACGAGCCAACGCTTTAACCACTAGGCTACCCCACCGCCCCTGCTATGTTACTAAGTCACTCTTCCTAATACCAGTTCTGGCTGAAGTCGAACTATGAGATACAATGCGCTCATAGAGGTCGTTGCCTATATTTTTAACACAATCTTTTCCACATTCATCAGAAATCTCAGAGCCAATTCTATAATTCTGTCCACATCATGAACATGCACATATGAATGTCTTTCAAACATATTCACTCATACAGATCTTACTTTCCGAGAGATTCTATAACGTGAACGTTCTGTCAGCTTCTAGTTTGTCACAGTTTGAAAGTTCGTGTGTGTTTAAATGAGGTTACAGTTTAAATCTATCAGTATAAACCGTCCTCACGCTCCCCCTGCCATTCACCGGTAGCCGACCTTGTCTTGTATCTCACAGTAAGGGGTTCTGGTGAGAGCTCATCTCGAGACTCTAATGCAATGGAATTTAACCTTTTCAAAGTATCGCTTTCTCGTTTTACAGGTTGTCTTCTTTGTGAGATAATACGCTTTTCCCCGATCGATACACATTGTTGTATTTCAAATTAGATAAGACCATCCACCTGAGACTTTAAGATGGCTCAAACGGAGAGACACAATTTCACAATGAAGTTGCAAATCTTAGAGCGCTGAGTTCATTGCATCATGGACAGATTAAACCCTCGGAGACATGACGAATTATGCTAGATTGGAAGCATACTGTGCGCGACGCATTCTAAAACTTGAGAGGTTTAATGTCAGCACAATTTACTGCTGTAACTATCACACCACGGAGTAGCAATATCAAAGTGTACACAGTGTGTTAACATCCATTTCAGGGACGGGAGGCTAGCATTACTGGTTTGAGTATTTTGATCAGTACACTGTAGATCTTAGTTCGATTGTCGACAGTGATTTGACAATCTGTTCTTTGTGTTCACCGTGTTGTGGTGAGTGAGTTTAGTTTTAAGACGCATTTAGCAATATTCCAGCAATTATACAGGGGCACCAGAAATGGGTTTCACACATTGCACCTATCTGGGGAATCGAACCCGTGTCTTCGGCGTGACGAGCGGATGCTTTAACCACTAGACTACCCCACCGCCATCCAACCGTGTTGTGAATGGTATTACATACTTATGACTCATGACGTCATTGCACCGTGAATAGTATTACATACTTATCACTCATGACGTCATTGCACCGTGAATAGTATTACATACTTATCACTCATGACGTCATTGCTTATGATTCAAGCTTGTGATTCAGTTCACAAATCACAACACATTATTCTTCGTGTTTCCTTAAATGCATAAAAACCTCGCTCATTCGAAAACAGGGTCATATGTCTTTAGGTGCCTTAAAGTCATGGTTTAGAAAAAGATGCTTTTCACGATCGGCTCTCTGGCATAATATCATCTCTTTGCCTGCATGCTTTTTATAGCCGCACTCACAATTGTTCCAGTCTGTTAATATTCAAGCCTGAACCACACACTCCAGTGACTGACATCGTGAGCATCGGCCAACGCCACTGGGATACGATGATATGCATCAACCAAGTCAGCGAGAATGACCACCCCGATCCCGTTAGTCGCCTCTTACGACGCATGGGTTACTGAAGGTCAGTTGTAACCGGAATCCTCTCACGACGAACATGGGTTGTTGAAGCCCATCCGTAACCCGAGTCTTCACTGGTCTCAACCAATGGTATTGACAATAACTGCAATGACAATTCTACACCATCTCTCCCTCATTCATGTAAGTAATTCCATATGTTCCCTTCAGTACGCACGTTTATTATAAGATAAGCTTGCTATCGTGCGACAGGACTGTTCAATCAAATGTGTCTTTCCTCGAATACCGTTCTCGTAAGTCAGTGTTAGTCCTGATAAAGTATAACTAATCGAACTCAAGTGATACCCCACAGACTGACGAGGTACTCAGGGAGAGTGATTTCTCTGTCTCCTTCATCGGTAAGTAGAAGGCTGGATACAAATTTAACGAAGATGCACAGTTGTACAAACGATGTCTTATATACGTTAACAAAATGGAAAAGTTCAATAAAGTTATAGTACCAGGTGTTCTCAAAGATGACATGAGCGTATCCTCCACCACCGGCGGAACCCGTCACAAACACATCCATATCAACTCACATGCCAAAACCCTAACGCAATATAAACAAACCTGGTACAAGTCAAAATCTGGAATTGTGTAGCCTTGCCATAAAACGAGTTGAAAGTTGTACTCCAAAACATCAACATAAGGAATATAGTAACATGATGATTCGTTAAAAATCAAAGGCGCTGACAGACGATAAAGTACAATATTTTGCATTACGTCATAATGTGGTGACGTCACTATGCCATTCTAGTCTGCCCTTCGTAATCAACCGTACCCTTGTGAGCTCAGATCTGGGCATGGATGTATTTATCTAAACCTATATTGAAACCAGAACGCGACTTTCATATTACCCTATTTGGTTTGCGATTATCTCAGATTTAATCATAATAATACAGAGAAGATATATAATCTGAATGTAATCTTTTTCTTCGTAACGCTCGGCTTAACGTAGGAGGCAGACACGTCATTAGAACAGCACTCCAGCCCTGAACGAGGATCGTTAATTTAGGCCACCGACACCGTTGTTTTTCTGTTTGTTTTCTGCATAAGATTAATCGTCTGAAAGTATTACAAGATGCATCTTAAAAAAAGAAATGCAGTTCGCTCTACCTCCGTGTATAGTGTAATAAAGTACGAGAACGCTTGCGTCCGAGTGGTTTAAAGTTGTAATAGTTCGGGGCTAAAGTGTACTTTATTGCACTACACGTCGGGGTAGAGCCAAGTGGTTAAAGCCGGGTTCTGTTCCCCACATGGGTAAAATGTATGAAGCCGACATCTGGTGTCCACGACCATGATGTTGCTAAAAGCGATGTAAAACTCAACTCAGCTCACAATCCAGGGAATAATAAACTTTCTGGTTTCCCTTTCATAGGCCGCCATCAAATAGCTGGAATATTGCTGAGTGCAGCGTTAAACAACAAACAATCCAACCATCCAATCCCTTTTATAGGAACATATCGTCTTTCTACTTATTATACTGGTTTATAACGATGACGGCACGATGTCCAGATATTGTTATACCTTGTACATCTTTAAATTCATGCAAGACGTTTCATTTCATGACATTTCATGGAACATCGTTGCGAACTCTTTACGAAATACCAAAGAAAAATTAGATGTAAGACTGTAGAGATTGTCACTTCCAATACAACGATATATCCGTAAATAAAAAACGGAAATCTGTATTTTTTAGTCGAAAGTAAATGTACATCGAAGAATCATAACATATTATTTGTCTCGTGGCTATGCCAGGAAATGATTTGTCATGCTAATCCTTCCTCTGTACTGAATCCATCTTGAAACGATGACGTCATCCCCATCCATAATGTCAGATGGAGGAGTCGGTGTTATGTAGCGCCTACGTTGGTAAAGAGGTTTCTGTCTTCTTCAAAATGGACATCGCAGGATCGGAAGTATGATTTGCAATGGATTGCCATATTTGTGAAATATAAAAATACAGCCACGTAAAAGTAGAACAGACGGACAAGTTCAGAACGGAACCTGGCTCCGTGCTTTAAGTTAGCTTTTCAGAGTTGCGTCTTTATGCAGACTTTGTATGCTTCCTGGAAGGTCATCATCTTGAACGTTGTCGGTTTCCAGTCATCCATTCTTGTAACTTTCACAATACTGGTGAAACGTTCAAGCATTTGAAAACAGGTGACATTGCCTTTGAAAATGGTTGAAGGTTTAATTTGAAAAGAAAAAGAACTTGATAGATTTCCAAGTCTAACGTGTAAAATTGTCTTATCTGTGAATGCCAAGATTTATGTTTTGTTTGACAACATAATTCTGAAATATCTGTCTGAAAACCTTGGCGTCATGATGGCATCATACACGCGACAAGATGTAATTTTGATAGATGATATTATAGGTGTTATATAAGCCAGGTGGACGGCGTCTGTGTCTTTAGCAAGCATATTTGATATGAGTGGCCAGGAACGCGTTTCGGTGTGGTCAGGCATGATACTGAAGTTGACAAATCGATGTGTCTAGCTTGGTATACATGAGCTTCGTGAGGTAAGTAATGTGACAGATACAATTATTCTCAGTCTGCACACAAAAGGTCACCAGGTTCGCTATGACATCCTATAAAGACCTAAGTAAAACATGGTCACAATATTGAAAACTGGCGTCAGTTAACTACTTGGTTTCAGGATTTCGGTTTCTTTTTTTTCAAAAGATATATTTTGATGGTTCCATTACTTCTGTTACGTTTCCCACCACCACCACATTAACCAGCGCCACCACTACTACTATCCATACTAGCACCATCAGCACGACCAATGACTGGTTACTGCTACTACTACAACTACTACTACTGCTGCTACTGCCACCATCACTGCTACTACTACTAATGCCACTGCTTCTACTACTACTACTACTACTACTACTGCTGCTGCTGCTGCCACCCTCCGGCATCACTGCCACTACTACTGATGACACTGCCCGTGAAGGTCCGGGTTAGAATATTGATCTTCAAAACCCATGCTTGTCGTAAGAGGCGACTAACGGGATCGGGTGGTCAGGCTCACTGATTTGGTTGACACATGTCATCGGTTCACAATTGCGCAGATTGATGTTCATGCTGGATTGTCTGGTCCAGATTCGATTATTTATATAGCTGGAATATTGCTGAGTGCGGCGTAAAACTAAACTCACTTACTCAGTCACTACTCCTACTACTGCTGCTGTTGCTGCTAATACTACTACTACTACTACTGCTACTAAATTAAACTTTTAAACTAAACCGCCTACTACTACTTAACTAAACTACCACCTACTAGTACTAGGAAACTAAACTTCTAAACTAAACCACCACCATCACAACCACTAATATAATTGTACCTTTGTGGGAATTAACCCAGGCTTTGGGCGGGACGCTCTATTCCTTCGTCTTATATACTGAATCAAATGTAGTTATTACCATACACGTATGTCTGTCAGAGACTAACAGGTCTTGGAACAGGTTTCTGGAGACTCTAAATGTTAATGAATGACCCCGCCCACTGCCGTCTCGGTCAAGTCCAGGATCAATTAATCCGAAACCAGGCTTAAATCAACCACAGAGAGTCAATTACGTTGCTGGTCACTTGCGTCAGGCTACAGGAGTAACTGACCAGATTATTAGGAGTCGTCCTCCAGTCGCTAATCTACATGCACGGCGATCTCGTGTTGTACCACCTTTCGACACACACAAGCCAGACGCCGATGGTGTTTAGACGGCGGAAGCTACTTATATGATCACCGATGGTGTCGTGTAATGTTATCAGGTGAATTCATTCTTGGCTTTCTGGGCGGACACGTCTGGAGCCGTCCTGACGAACGACATGTGGACGTTAAAGAACGACAGCTAGATTTTGGGGCGTGGGTTTATAGTGGTAGGTGGAGAGATCACAGGCAGTGAACCTCAGTGCATATTGGCCGTGGAAGAGTACAAACTATAAAACGTGCCATTAGTTGTCAAAGCCTTGGCTTTAAGGATCCCAGCGAGTTTCGTGACTGATTGTTGTTTAACGCCGCATTCAGCAATGTTACAGTTATATGGGGCGGTCTGTAAATAATCCAGCAGATATTCAGCGATCAACATCATGAGCATCGATCTACGCAATTACAATGATATGCTTGAAACCGGTATAAGAATCTATACCCAAACGTCGCCATTATCAAAATAAAGAAGTTGATCATCCATAAAGGATTGTCATCTCTATACCACCAACTTCTAGAATGCCACTCAAACAAATCATCCATAAAGTCTTGTCATCTCTTCAATTACGATCTTGTATCTTTTAATATCCTCAACCTTAACGAAGAGCAAATATGAAGCTCATAAATGATCCGACCTTCGTCGCCATACTAACTATCTGGAAATATAGTTTAATTATTTTCATGTGGTCAGAGAAACAAAATTGATGTTCTCGCCATGATCAAAAAGCAGCATTCCACCTTCGGGAGAAATCAATCCAGGAAGAAGCCTTCATTAAACTCTTTACTGACTTTGTCTAGGACATTCTCAAAACCCCAACATAACACTGACGCAGACTATGTTACTAAAACAAGACACGAACCGCAGATCACTGTTGTGGTAACAATGTTGATATATTCTACTGAAACCAAGGTAGGCATCACCTGTGGTAAAAGAAGAACTTGGTGTTAGCTTATGCAAAGCTAAATGTATCCCCGAGGCGTGAACTGCTACATGGTGAGTGCTTCGGGAGGGACAGATATAGTGTAAATTTCAAGTGAAGTGTTTTTTCCTCCATCCACGAGGATCAGCTGAGCTCTGCTTGAGACAATGCCTGCGGTGTGCCTGAGTTAATAATGCGGTCAATGTCCATTGTAGGTAGCTAATGAAACACAGCCATGGGGTCGAGTATGTATATTTACACAAGTTTACATAAAAAATGGGTACAACAGCTGCTTGTCATCTGAGCAAAACTCTCAGGACGAATACAACCCGGGCGTCATCACAGCCATCCGTCATCAGATAAGATGGTATTTGTGCGGATGGGCTTAAGAACACAATCTTGACCCCAAGAATATCTAACTTAGACGGATTTGCCGCTCTTGATTATTTGCCCGTAGGAATTTTAATCAGCCATTCATATGGCCTCCATCGTCCTTTTGACTACTTTGTCATTTGGACCATCTGTTTGGTTGATTAAAAGCCACACTTGAGCAGTAGTTGCCTTCAGTGGTCGCTCTCACTTATTAGAGTTGCGGCCAAGTCGTTATTTTGACATTAGGCGACGCTTTAAAGTCGCTATTTTATCTCACATTTCTACAGATTGTCAAATTGAAGGGTCTGATTGAGCTGTCGCCGATCAATATCTGAGCCATCACATGACTTGGCCAATTGAAAATGTTGCTTAAATCTGTCCAGAAGTAGGCCTAATATACAGGATATGTGTAAGCTGCTGTCATTGAAAATACTAAGCACTTGTGCGTCTTTTCTGTCCATCTTTTCAAATGTGTTTCCTCGGCTTTGCAATAAACGGTGAAATTGGTGCATGGACGGGAACGTCACAATGTTTAACTTTACGAATGATTTGCTGGATTTGAAGGCGTTTGGTTTCTGAAAGGACTGTGGAACGATGTACAAGCAGGATTGTCACAGATGATGTTGTGATATATATACCTTAAAGATGCTCAGTGGCGCTAAGGACAAATCATTCGCCAGAAGCGAATATTCACATGAGCATATCATCCCACTACGTACCTGTTGGGTGAACGGAACGCAATTTTGAACAAATTCACTTTGCTAAGGTGAGACCACGTGTGTATCTCCTGGGCTCCCATGGGGTTTCCATGGTATCTCAGAACCGTGCATGGTGTCTCAGGGGCTTGCATAGTATCTAGAGCCTTGCATAGTATCTCAGGGGCTTGGAGTATCTCAGAACCTTGAATGGTATCTCTAGGACTCGTATGGTATCTGTTGAGCTTGCATGGTATCCCGGGGGCTTGCATGATATCTCAGACGCTCCCGTGGTATCTCAGGGGTTTGCATGGTATCTGTGGGGCTCGCATGGTATCTCTGGGGCTCGCATGACATCTCAGGGACTAGCATGATATCTCAGAGGCTTGCGTGGTGTCAATGGGGTTCCTATGACATCTCATGGTATCTCCGAGGCTCGGATAGTATCTCTGGGACTCGCATGGTATCTCTGGGGCTTGCATGATATCTCAGAGGCTCCCGTTGTATCTCTGGGGCTCGTATGGGGTTCACATGGTACCTGAGAGGCTTGCATGGTATCTGTTGGGCTCGCATGGGGCGGGTATGGTATCTCAGGCTTGCGTGGTATCTGTGGGGCATGCATGTGGTATCTCTGGGGCTTGCATGGAATCTCTGGGGCTCGCATGGTATGTCAGAGGCCCGGGTGGAATCTCTGGGACTCGTATGGGGTTCACGTGGTATCTCAGAGATTCGCATGGTATTTCAGGGGCCTGCATGGTATCTCTGGGGCTCGCATGGTATCTCAGAAGTGTGCATGGTATCTCTAAGCGCATACAACGTGATGGACATTATTACCCCTGATAACCCAAGTTACCCTGTATGACGCAAGCTGCCTAGAAGGTTAACATGACTTATACCACGGTGTACCTATTTTCAGCTGGCTGAAACTCAATTTTGCACTGGACCACATTCCACCACATAAGACCAAGTATTTGTTCTGTTAGTCATTTTCATGTGCATAAAATGCTTCTTTTACAAGGCAAGAGATATACTTTGCCCAAATGCAATGATCACATATAAGTAAAACCTGAACCTCGTTTTCAATCTAATGGACGCAACTCAATATACAGACTATACTCAGCATTGGTTGTGTCCTGCTTTGTCATTCAAAAGACTGGTTTTAGCAGCTATTGTTGAATTACTGGATCCAATTAGAGAGAAAACTACTTTTATGTATCCATGGATGTCCAAACATAAATGCATGTTTGTAATTACATGTCAAAGTGTTCAGAATAGTGGCATCTTAATGGATTACAAAACAGAACTGCCATGATTCTTGTTAGAAATAACACAGTCGTTCTTTAAATAAATTATTCAACATATTTACATGAGCAACGTAACCAGACATGGACAAACACACCATAAAACACATTTGTCACTCATTATGCTACGTTGTACAGCTTGTTACCTTTGTGTGAGAGTCCGTTATGTGGAAGGAGAGTACTTGAAACTCTACGCCAGTATTGATGATTCCTTTGGTTTACATTCTTTGCCTGGGAATTATGTAAATTTGTAACAGTTACATTTATCAAGGATTATTGGAAAGGAAATCTGCCATAATTACCCATGAAGATTGCCAGGAGAATCTAAAATAATTGCCCAGGATCAGAACAAGGGGAATCTACTATATTTGCCTTGGACCACTGCAGGGGGAATCTACCTCATAAAGGGGAGTCTATCATATTTGTCCTGGACAATTGCAAATGTTAATCTGCCAGATTCTATTAGGACCACTGAGAGGGGAATCTACCATATTTGTCCAGGACCAGAGCAAGGGGAATCTATCATATTTGTCCAGTACCACTACAAGGGGAATCTGCCATATTTGCCAAGGAAGAGAGAAAGGTGAATCTACCATATTTGCCCAGGACCACTGAAAGAGGTATTTACCTTGTTTGCCTAGGACCACTGCAGAAGGAATCTACCACATTTTCCTAGGACCACTGCAGGCTGAGTCTACTATATTTGTCCAGGACCACTGTAAGGGGAATCCACCATATTTGTCCAGGACCACTTCAAAGGGAATATACTAGTCCATATTTGTCCAGGACCACTGCACGGGGGATCTAACATATTTGCCCAGGACCACTGCAAGGGGAATCGCCCATATATGTACCATATTTACCCAGGATGTTACCAATGGAGTGTGCAATAACAACACATGCATCCCAGTTACTCCAACAGACAAAGGCCAAAGGCGTCCGAGCAGGGACAGACCTTTCGAAATGGCAACCTGTCAATAAAAAATAATAGAAAACAGATTATGAATAATAGATAATCTATAACAGTTGACGGTGTACAATTGTAAATTTGAATGTAGTAGTTTTCACTCCTTGGACACATAATATTATTTTGGTAAGTGTAACAAGTGCACTTTTTGCCTCATTTCGGGCGCCCTGATCGAACGAACTAACGCGTCTATGTATCACACCTGTACTAACTTACATATGCATCAATTTAATGTTTATAGTTGTTAGAAATCTGTGAACCATTGCTTAAATAGACCCTTATTCACCTTGATGCACCGCGTTTGTTCACAGCGTAACTACCATTTGTTCTGTTGCATTGGTTTGAGGATAAATGTCATCGAATTCTGTTTTGCATGCCGTTGACAGGCCTTTTGCTAATGAAACATGATATTCCATTGATTCTTCGCATTCTACAAAGGGGCAATTTCGACCTGCCATCTCCGCCGGATGTAAACTTGCTTACAGCCTTGACCGCATCACATTAGCTGTTAAGTGTGACAGCGACCGGCGATTTTGAACAGGTCTCGTGGCAATTGTGATCGATCATGATCCTATTCTGAGTTTCTTTTATCCGAAAGACTTTGTGGAATTTCCATTTCCAGGAACAAACAACTACCTGGGGGCACTTCACGTCATTATATGTATGACAACTGCCACTCCAGTGTATAACGGCAAATTACACTGCCTGAATTAGGCAACTGCATTGAAACACCATTTAGAACAACATACAAGCCTGTGTACCAGAAGGTGTTTGCGGATAAATCTTCTTATATCTTGTATATGTGCTGCAGTAGGTAGTATATGATGTTGTATGATCGTTACATGCAAGTGTAACAACGGGCATTGTATGTTCGTTTAAGTGTTTTGTGAAAGGATGGTGTAGTGGATATTATATATGTTGCTGTGGCTATTGGATGTGTTGCAGTGACTTTCGCACGAGTGTTGCAGTGGATATTCCATGAGTGTTATCCACTGGCTATTGGATGTGTGTTGCAGTGGATATTCCGTGAGTGTTATCCACTGGCTTATTGGATATGTGTTGCAGGGCTTTTTTATGAGTGTTGCAGTGGTTATTGAATGAGTGTTGCAGTGGATATTGAATGATTCTTGCAGCGGTTATTGGATGTGTGTAACAGGTTTTTTTGTATGATTGTTGCAGCATATATTGTATGAGTGTTACAGCGGTTATTGTATGAGTGTTACAGTGGTTATTGGATGTGTGTTACAGCGGTTATTTGATGTCTGTTGTATTGTTCTTTGTACGAGCATTACAGTAGTCTTTTTCTAGTGGTTATTGGATATGTGTTGCAGTGCTTATTGTATGGGGGTTAATTGTGTTGTTACTGTATTAGGATGTTTACAGCGGGTACATTCTTTTATTACAAGCTTTAAACGTTAAAACTGACCAAATATAACTCACAGAGGACCCTAATGTTTATTGATAATTTCATCGATTAGAAATCAGCATTACAGTATTTTACCATTGAAACATCACATACTTCCAATCAATATTCTTCCATGAGTGGAACGTCCAGCAATATAATGCCTAGCAACAATAATATGGACCTCGTATGTTAGCCTGGCACTGAATAGCTGGTAAATTTCATATTGAAAGGTGGCAACATTTCACTTCGGCTCTTTACATAAAATGAGGTCGAGACCCTTCGGGTTGTAAAGTAGCCTTTTTCCCGTTATTGGCAAGAATGCAGTAAATTCCAGTCACTTTACTTCAAAGCACGAAACAGTTAGTTCTCTCTTTGTGCCAAAGTGCCATTTTATACACTTCATTGAACAATGACTCAGAAGATATTGTGGTGTTCATCAGAGCACTTAAGGAACGTATTTTTGTTTTCTTGAAAAGCCTAAAGTTGACATTCAAGATGAATGAAATTGTTTTTGTCCTGCAGAAAAGTTAGGTAATACGCATTTCGATAAATGTCGTCATAATGTCATATTTCACATCCTTTGCGGAACAGAAATTATAATTTGCAGAGTTTATTGATCAAAATATTTGGAGCTGTAAAACTTGATATAATTCCAAGTGGAATATATCGGAATTCAATGGCTGACTATCAGCTTAAAGCTTAAACGCTTCCCAAATTAAACGTTGCTGATATTTTTAAGACGTACAGTTACCCATTTCTTTATATATTATTACGCAATAGTAATGGCATTTATCGTTATTTATTATTGCAGAT